AACGGTTCTATCCTTAGGTTAGAAGACCTAAAAAAGTTTAATTTGTGATATAAAGCCCAAATGAACTTAGTCTTGGACATTCTCACTAAAGCTGTACCTAGAAGTCTTAAATTTCTGGTATGACAGACCCCCTCCAAACACACACACACACACACACATACATATGCACACACACACACGCGCGCGCGCGCGCACACACACACACACACACACACACACACACACACACACAAAACAAAAACCCAACCAACCAAACAAAAAAGTGAGGAAATCAGTTGTAACATAAACAGGTACAAGGGATTTAGTTAGAAGCAAGGTATTTACTCTTTGAGAGTAACTTAAAAGTCTGCACAGGTATAGATTTGAATGTTATAAAACAAACAGCTCAAAAATACAAGACCTACAACCTCACACCTTTGAGAATCTTCAACTTTTTTAATGTCATCAGTTTCTTAGACTTCTATGCTGTAGACTGAATGTTAGCATTCTCCTAAAATTCCCATGTTGAAACCAAATACCTGAAATGATGGTATTTGGAGGTGGGACCCTTGGAAGGCGATTAGGTTGTGAGGGTGGAGCCTTTGTGAATGGGATTAGTGTCCTTATAAAAAGGGATCCCAGAAAGCTCCCTTGCTTCCTCTGCCTTGTGAAGACTCAAAAATTAGACAACGGCTATAAACCAAGAAGCAGTTTCTCACCAGACACGGAACCTGCTGGTGCCTTAATCTTGGACTATGAGAAATAAATTTCCATTTAAGGCACCCAGTTTATGATAGTGTTATAGTAGCCTAACTGGACCAAGACACTGTTCATATTCTTCCTCAGTTTTCACAAAAAGATAATTATTTGAAGAGAAATTTACTCCAAACACACAGATGTGTAAAAGGCTGTGAGGATACTGAGAAGTGGTTACTAGGCAGACGGCTTGATTTTCCATCCCCCCTTTCCAAGTACAGGAAAAAAAGAAACCCAACTCATTTTCTACTCTACAAACTTATTCCTAAAGGACAGCCTTGAAACCTGTAAGTTTCAATACAAATAGCTAGATTCAGAAACTCTAGCTGTTGCTCGCAAATACTTGAGACTTGGAATATTAAGCTTGTAAGTACAGAGGTCTACTGTAGACATGTGAATGGTCCAGTCAAGTTTGTCCCTATAAGAAGGGTTGGAATTTGTGACTTGCTATATGGATAGATAAGAGAGGTAAAATGCTGATGCAATGTATTTTGAATTTACACAGTAGAAAAGAAACCTTGCAATAGAGTAGTAAGAAAAATTAAAGTTTTTTTTTTCCATTTTCCCCCCTAATATTTCCTGTTTAATTGAATACCTTGTCTTAATTCATTGTTTGGTCTATGTAAAACATAGGTCTACTGATCTCATTTTTGCCTTAATTGACCAGCCAGTCCTATAAAATGAACCTTTCTTTTTTTCCCCATTCAATCAAGAATTGGTTAAACTGTTCATTGGTTGCTTTCACACTTTCCATCTTTAGCCCAAAATTTCATAAAGTAACAGAAATGATTACAAGAATATTTAGTGAGCACTTAAGGGTGCCAGACCCTGTGCTTTATTTCTCATAACACATTTATTAAAAAATCCTATTACTTCCACTTCATAGATAATGCAACTAAGGCTCAGAAAACTAAATAATTTGTCCAGTGTCAAATTGCTGGTAGTGGTAGAGTGGGATTCCAACCTAGTAAAACAACCCACTTTGGTTCCAATTAACCCAATTAACTAGCCATTTCCAGCAAATGTAGTTAAACATTTGATTTACCTGGGATGATCTCATTATATAATTTTGGTCTCAGACATAGGTTAAATTACTTTGAGATAGACCATCCAAGTTCTTAAAGTTATTTTAATGGTAAGTAGGTTAAACAAATTTGAAATGCAAGACTTGTTTTTCCAGGCCATAGCTCTTCTGTAAATAATTCATTATTCATTCAGCAGCTATGTTCAGTGCTACCAGTCAGGGCATTGTGGGAGATAGAAATATAGAGCACAGTCTAGTGAGAGAAGCGTGATGTTTGAAGGGTGTAAACAAACTGCTGTTGGCATTTAAAAAAGGAAAAGATGCGTCCTGTCGGGATGAGTCAGAAAAGACTTCATGAAATCCCTCCACCCAAATGTTCTTTTCTGTAGACAGCCCGTGGCTTGTTTCCTCACCTTTTCCAGGTTGTGGCTTTCTCTGACCACCACACTTAAAACTGCTCCCCAGTATTTCTTCTCCTACTTCCCTGCTTTGATTTTTCCATAACACTTGTCATGTATTGGCACACTGCATGCTTATTTATTGGTTCTGTCTCCCCAAATTAAAATGTAAAGTGTACAAGGTCAGGGCCTTTTGGCTCTTTTGTCCACTAATATAAATCTAGTCTAAGAACAATACCTAACACAAAGGAGGAAAACACTATATTTTGTTCAACAGATGGAAAAAAATAAGACTTAAGCTTGGCCTGAAGAATGGATAGCATTTAGCTGGGCATTGTTGGAAGGGAGAATTCAAGGTGAAGGAAATGATTTAAACAACAAACGGAAGCAGCAAATTACATAGTCTGTTTGAAGAGCTGTGTGCTGGTTAAATTTGGTTAAAATACAGAATACAATTTGGTTAAAATACAGAAATGCAGTGGGACATAGTCTGGAGGGATCTGTGTTATGTGGACCTGAATGACTGACTTAATTTCACAGGGAGATGGAGCCCTTGAGATTAGGAGTCTTGAAATATCCTTATTTAATATTTAATAATTAAACAAAAGCATCCCAGGTAATTCCAACGTAGGGGTAGACCCAGGGTGTGTGGATCCTGAAGCTAATATAACTTTAGACCCTGGTGAAACAGTCCACTTTGGTTCAATTATCTAGCCATTTTAGCAAATGGAGTTTAACATTTGAAAAAAAGAACATAAACAAGAAAAAAAAAAAACCTAGAAAACAATGAGCATATATGACTTCTGGCCTTGCCCCTCTTATGTCACGGTGCTGAGATAGTGCAGTGGGTGGTAGGAGTCCTCCCAGCAGCCCTTCCTTCCCCTGGTAGCCACCAATAACCCAATTACACATGGAAGTGATTACAAGCTACATAAATATATTCTGCCAGACCCAGCTTCCCTTAACTAAATCTCAAAAATGCCTGTAGCCACTCAGATGCTGCTGAACAAGAAGAGATGGATGATGGTGGCAAAGTCAGAGACTCAGACGATGACTGACAAATTGAGGCTGAAATATCAGTGATCATGGGAACGCATTTCTAGGACCTTGGAAGAAGACACAACAAATGAGGGACCCTGGAGTTTTATTGGCTTCATGGTTAAGCTGCTTCTGGAACTCTGTTAAAGGGAATACAATGGATTGGAAGGAAGATTAGGGGAGTACTAGATAGAGGTAATGAGGTCTTAGTTGGCCTGGGAGTTGGGAGAGGAGTATGAGCAGCAGAATACAAAGACATTATGACCATTGAACCAAAGGAAAGAAAGGTCAAAGGTGCCTGAAATCCTACCTCAGGATACTGAGTAGTATCTGGGAGTCAACTGTCCTTAAAGCTGAGAATTTATCTGTACATTAAATGATCTTTGCATTTATTAGATTACCAATGCTCAAGTGATCACATCTTTGGCCAGTGGCTTTCAAGTCTTTTGACAAGACCCTTGTATTCTTTGGTAGCTTCCTTGCTTTCTGGTTAGATGAGATGTTCTAGGCTTGTATACTTCCTGTGCCACACCTGGAACCTACCGTTTCTCTAGGAAGTACCAGGTTCTTTCAGTGAGAAACTGTTTTCAAGCCATATCTGGTGTTAGGGATGCTCAGTGCCACTGTATTTGTATATATGTATATATGTATGGCATATACATATATATACACGTGTATTTTCCCTCTTACACACATTAGATTTTTTTTTAATATTTCTGGAGGAAACTGCTCGTTGTTTTAAACTTGCTCTGTTATTCTTTAAGCAATGAAAGCAGTAAGCTTTTAAGTGGGGTCTTTGTGACATGAATTAGTGCAGCTTCCCCAGGCAACTTATTTATAAAGAGAAATAAACTTAAATACCAAGAGAATTTGGTTGACAAATTAGTAGTTTAGCAAGTGGAAACTCACCTTTAGCATTTTTGAGCTGTTATGCTTTAGAATATAAAATGACCAGGTTGCATTAGGGTGACTTTTTGAAGTCTGCAATAGAAAGCACTGAATAACCAGTTCTAATTCCACAACCACAAACAATGATAACTATAGTGTATTCATGATGAACTTGTGGCATATAAAGAAATTTCTCATGCTTTAATATTTTACTAAAAGATTGAAAATATAATTATGCAGAACAGAAAATTTAAAAATCCTAGTCAATTGTGGAAATCCTTCAGTTGACTTTGCTTTTGAGCAAGAGTATACCTTTTTTTTTTTTTTAAACTAAGTTTGGGTTATATAGAACTTAAAATCCAAAAGTCTCCTCCACCCCCATCATAGACTGTAGAAATAAATGCATTGCCTTGAGAAGCCACCCTCAAATAGATTTTGTTTACTTATATTTGAAATGCTGCACCTTTAATAAAACAGTATTACTAAAAACTGTTAGGTTATCAAGTACCTAATAAAGAAGTCTTAGTTAAAACTCTGGTTTCATGTCATGGGTGAATTTTGATTAAAAAAAAAAAAAAAACACCCAGAAAAAAGATTCAAAATGGTCATAGGCGTTGCCTTTTGCAAGAGAAGCAGAAGAAAAAAAAAAAATCAGCTTTCAGTGCAGTAGAACTAATGATTGCTACTCTGGGTATGAAACAGGAAAATAGATTTCATCTTTTATGCCAGTTCCAATAAATTGAGAGCAGCTTCTGGAGCACTGTGTTGGGATGGATTCTGAGACCGCTTCCATTCTCCGTGGGAAGGAAGCTGTGATCAATAAGGAATGGGGAGTCACAGCATGTGTGCGATGCATCTGGTATCCGCGATGAAAGAGCATTAAAAAAAAAAAAAACCAGTAAACATCACAGTCTTACCAGATAAGCCACCCACGTCCATCTTCTTCAGGTTCTTTGCCTCCAGAATGACAACAGTCAGCTTGCCGGCAGTCGGTACATAGCGAAGGGAGAAGCAAATATCACCCAATTTCTCTTGCTGTGAAACCAATAAGAGACTATAAGTAACTTTTCGAATAAAGGTGAATATAGTTTGTACACACACATTGCAAATTCTTCACAAGGAGGATTAGGATAATTAGAATGTGAAAGCTCTTAGGTTCATTGGCGTTTGCCCAGTGGTCTTTCATTCACTGAGGTATGAAGAGTGATTGTAACCCATTTTGGTTTTAAATAGCTCATCTATACTTTATCATTCATCAAAATATATCCATAATTCAATAGTTCAGGAAATGAGACCGAGATGACTTTTTTAGAAAATCTACTCTGAATAGCACTGCAATGATCTTGGCAAAATTTCATAACTTTATTAAATAACTTTGAAAAGAGTCTAACACTCCTTTAGTAGAATCAACCTACCCCTATTTTTGTCTTTTTACATTTCAAATAGGATTATGTCTAATGCTTAGATTTTTGGGAGAAGGACTTGTATTTGCATTTGACTCAATTTTTTAAAAGATTTTTTAAAAAGATTTAGCTCTTTTATTTTTAAGTAAGCTCTACACCCAATGTGGGGCTTGAACCCACAACCCTGAGATCAAGAGTCACATGCCCTACCAACTGAGCCCGGTGGGTGCCCCTGGACTGAATCATTAATGAGACATTCTGAATTCCTAGTAGTTGAAAGGCAACATATAAGAAGTTTTTGCCATTTCAGTTTTACTCCTGTCAAGTGAGATTCAACTTTTTCCCCTTATTCTAATAGTTGTACAAATCAAAGCAGCAGGTTGGAAAATTGAAATATACAGTAATACAGCACATGTCCTAGCCCCTCCCAGTGTTTCTGGGGTATCCTATTCAGGTCCTAGGAACATTCACCAACCCTGTATCTCTGGCATTTCTGAACATTTCAGTCAGAGTTTAAAGTGATGGTATAGAGAACGTTGACTTTCTCTTTTTTTCCCAGAAAGAACTATGGGTTATGATACCTTTAAGTGTCTTACTTTTTAGGATGATGAATTAAGAACCATGGTATTCAACATGAGGAGAATTTGAATTCACATAAGCATGAGAGTGGGCAGGAGGCTGGCAGTATCTACATGGAATTCTGATACAGGGAATTAGGTATATGGCAAATTGGGGTTTATTTCTTAGGACGTGCTCTCCCCACCATGCCCCCACCCTGCCCCACAAAGTAAATTCTGATTCTTTTTTTTTTAAGATTTTATTTATTTATTTGTCAGAGAGAGAGAGAGAGAGAGCAAGCACAGGCAGACAGAATGGCAGGCAGAGGCAGAGGGAGAAGCAGGCTCCCTGATGAGCAAGGAGCCCGATGTGGGACTCGATCCCAGGACGCTGGGATCATGACCTGAGCTGAAGGCAGCTGCTTAACCAACTGAGCCACCCAGGCGTCCCAGTAAATTCTGATTCTAAAGGTGATGGTTGTATCAGACTTCTGCAGATAGGCTTAACGTAAGAATAAGGTACAGAAGACCTTTTCCTGTTATGCTCTTATTAAAACTGTATTTGGTCTTATCTACAACTTCATGTATGTGTTAAATCAGCCTGAGTCTCCAGTATGGAGGTAATTGCCTAAGATGTAATTTAACAGCTTAAGGAAATAAAATTCCTTTTACTGGGTATTCATTTTGTCCATCAAAGAAAAGTGTGTGGGGTGCCTGGGTGTTGCGGTGGGTTAAGTGTTTGACTCTGGTTTTGTCTCAGGTTGTGATCTCAGGGTCATGGGGTCCAGACTGGTTCAGGGCTCCGAGCTCAGTGGGGAGTCTCCTTGGCACTCTGTCCCCCCCCTCTTTCTGCCCATCCACTGCCCCATACTAGCACCCATCCCCTCTCAAATCTTAAAAAAAGATCTACTTTTTCTGATTTATCCATAGGTGAGAAGTAATCATTCCATGTGTGTGTTGGGCAGAGGGAGAGGGATAGATTTTCTGCTTAAGTAATGCTTTATTGAAAACATCACCACATGTGTTTATAAACCCCCCAGTTCTTTGATTCCTTGAGTCCTTCTAGCATCTTACCCATATATCTCTTATGTCACTCAAGACCGTTTTTGTTTTATTGTGCAAATGTCTCAATTTTCCCCCATGACTCCTTGAAGACTGGTCCTTGACTGATTTATCACTTTTCATGCATTCTCAAAATATAAATAAATGAAAAATTTGGAAAATATCCCTGTTTTGAATTATCTAGGTCCTATCTCCCTTCCATTAGTTTAGATAATAGTTAAATGTGCTAAATTCACCCAAAGTGTCTACTTACTCCCTATGACTTTATACGTGAGGAGAATCTAGTAGAATATATTCCTTTTCTTGGTCTTCGTGAAAATTCAGAACGGGAATCAAGATGATAGAAATTAATACAAAGTGTGGACAGATTCATCTGAACCTTATAAATGTAAATGAACAAAATTGTAGTCCAAAAATATTCACTAGGAAGAAGATTCTTTCTGCAGGGTTCTGTCTTTTTGCCACAGTACCTTCCCTGGGGAAGTCGGTCTGTTTCAGAACCAAGTTACTCTAACTGTTCTAGTTAAGCATTTTAGATATGACTGTTCTTTTGAATGGCCCCTCTCTATATAAGAGTCTTCAATTTAGGACATCTCCTATTTTGAAGAAACAATACAACTTACTTTTCTTCCAGTACTTTATCATTCAATTCTGTGATATATAGGGAATTTTTGAGATTTTGTGTAATCTCTATCCCTTCTCTAGAAGGGAGAAGTTAGTTTGAACCTACCATGTATCAGGTAGGAGAAATAGGTGAAGTTACTTGTAATTATAAAGCTATGGGATGAGGAAGAATGAGTGTGTGTGTGTGTGTGTGTGTGTGTGTGTGGCAGGTGGGAGGATAGATCAAAATTGGTATTTTAGGAGCAAGAAAAACTTGGAAGACTGCTTATTTTCAGATTTACTTTTAACTCCTTAACTTAGGAACTTGAATATATAAAATTTCATATGCTTATAAAATTATAACTGACATGCCAAATTAAGCATGTCTTTTTATTCTAATCAACTGGAGTTACTTTACAGTGTTTGAAACTCTTCCATTTGAAAGATAGTCACTGTTCTGGAATTTATGTTCTTTACGGCATCAAGCAGATAGAAACTCATTCTCAAGAAAAGGCAATGTCTAATTCTTATGAACCATTATATTTTTTTTGTTGTCACTAGCTCAATAATATATAAATATATGCTTTTCTTTTCTTTTTTTTTTTTTTTTAAAGATTTTATTTATTTAAAAGAGAGAGAGAGATCCAAGTAGGCAGAGAGGCAGGCAGAGAGAGAGAGGGGAGGGAGCAGAGAGCCCGATGCGATGCCGGGCTCAATCCCAGGACCCTGGGATCATGACCTGAGCCGAAGGCAGAGGCTTTAACCCACTGAGCCACCCGGCGCCCCAAATATATGCTTTTCTAATTCTTTAAAAAAGAGCTTTAATAATTTTCTAAAACAGAATTTCAGAATTGGGACTTCTGCTACATGCTGGCTTGACTCTAGATTAATTGAGGTAGGATACTTCCCAATAGGATGGTAATGTGTTTTTCATTTGTTGGGGATGAGCTGGGAGCCTGAAGGTCATGTGAAGCAAGAAGAGCCAGGATATGCATCATGGGGAGGCTGTACTTCAGACGTACGTGCTTGGCAGAACTCGGTGCTTCTGCTGACCCGTCCTGAAGATGGGGTCTATTTGACCACAGCTGAAATAAGACTTAGATCTGAGGCTTATGTTGTAAGTAAGTGTTGTTACTTTAGAATCTTAGATTGGGGACTCCTATCACTATGAGTTGTGGGAAAGCAAATACTTTTTTATCCTCTATGAAATCTTGCACTGAACTTCTGTGATTAGATGGAGATGTACTCTTGTTCCTGGAGTCTTGTTCTAGCATATGAAGGTTTTATTCTATCTCCTGTCACTTACACAGAAGAACTGGAATGGTTTGAGTTTTGTGGACAGTTTAACATCAACCTCTTATTTCACAATTTTCACATACCCAGAGTTTTTATGTATTACTTTAAAGTTCAAGAAACCAAGATTTTCTCCATTTAAAAAAAGTTTTCTTTAGTGGGGTTATGGTGATGGGGAACAGAAGTGGTTCTGGAAAACTGACATAGAAAGATGACCCTCCAATCTCTATCTCAGCTCCTTACTTCTCCTTGACAATTCCGTCTTGTTTTCTCTACAACAGCCCTGTGAAGTAGGTACTGTTTTGCCCCTTTTAGACATGAAAAGTTTAAGACCCAGAGGTTGCATATGGTTACATAGCCATCTCAGTGTGGACCTCATTAAGGTCCTTTGACTCAAAATGGTGAGTTTTCTTTACCATCAGATCGCCATCTGGAAAGATAAACTGATACTGCAACTGACAACCCACTTAGATACTCCACTCTCACTTTACAGTCATGCTGTCTAACTAAATGGTTGTTCATCATCAGATTTCCCCCTGACCTGTTCTTTTCAACGTCCCTTTTGGTTAATGTCACTAAGTAATCAATTTCCAGTGACTAGTGTTTCTTCTGTTTTTCTTTAGTCCTTCAGCCCACAAATCTTGACATTTCTTTCTTTGTCAATGTCTCTCAAATGGATTTTTAAATTTTACTTAATTTTTCCCTGTCCTTATTAACATGACCTCTACCTTCCTCTCTTCCACCTTCAATATGACCTCCATCTCTGCTGTGATATTTGCCACTGTCACCATCACTATCATCACTGCCATCCCTTCTGCCTCCGTTGTGTTTGAGATCCAGCTCTGAACATTTCTGTCATCCTTTTCTTGCAGCAGTCTGATGAAAGATCTCATGAGTCGTTGTCTCTCCAAAGTCCGGTGTAGACTATATACTAATGCCAGGCTAATCTTTCAAAGTACAAACCCACTTTCCTGACTTTGAAGAAGCTCTGTACTTTGTCTCTGCCCTAACTATTTAAACCTTCTTCTTCTACTTTACTATCTGCTCAACCTTCAGAATATATTTTGAATCTGACCTCAACTCTCTACTTAAAGGCCTTCCCTCTGGTACAGATAGG